CTACAAGTTGAGATGTCATAATTCTGAATGTTCTTCCCCTAAGACCATGGAATGGGTTAAACCTCTGGGACTGTGGTGGACCTCCAGAATTTGTGTTAGAATCTCAAGGGTATTTTTTGTAGACATAAACTGGGTTCATACTTTGCAGTAAGATATAGACCATGTTCACACAACATGTTAAACAACATTGAACTGAATGAGCCCAATTCTCTGGGTTCACAAGACTTACTAAACTGTAATTAACTACTGAGCTGGGTTTGCATTGAGGCTATCAGGGCAGGGCTGCAAAATCTGTAAAACTCTAAACATCATTAGATGACAACGAAGAGTGGTTCTTTCTTTATGGCCTTTAGTGACCATCCAGGTTTTGCAGCCTAGAATTACTAGTTTTAATTTGCACAACACACTAACATAAAATGTGGTTGGTACATTTGTGGTCTAAGTGTCATGCGAGCACAGCCATAATGCAGCTTGGTTTGGTTTTAGTTTAGTTTAGATTCTGACTTGTAAACCATGGCCCATGGTATAATGTGTTATATGAGCTCACCTCCGTTTTTACCTAGTGAACTATTAAACAAACAAAAGTTTAACATGATGGAACATAGCTAGTATTAAACTATGGTTATAGCTTAGCATATTGTTTGAATCTGGCCAGCTGTGGTTCATTTAACAAATCATAGTTAAAAGATGCTTAGCACCAGTATAATCTAGGCCAAGGAGTGCAAGACACCCTTCAAACATGTTGTTGTAAGAGCTTCCTAAAAATCTTATTTATAAAGAGATTATATTTGGGAGATACAAAATAATATTCCTTGATGGATTAGAGATGATGTTACAAATGACCTTTGGCCCCAATGTCTGAATATTTCTCCCTCACTAAATATGAATATATTTCATTTTCAGCACTGATCGATGGTTGAATTCTATTTATGATCTGAGATCAAGCAATAAGAATGCAAGGGCAAAAGTAAGAACAGACAAAAATGAAAATATAGAAACATAT